CAGCTGTTTTCAGCCTATTTTGGCCATTTTCTCCCTAATTAACACTGCTTCGGCTGCTTTTCTCAAGACTAGTTTTTCCTTGTCTTTACAAGGTGAATTATGAATGATATTCCTCTGTTTTTTTGCGCACAATTAAACAGTTAGGCAGACAATTGCACAGACACCTGAAAAAGTCGCAAAAACACTATTACAGAAACAAAAAAGACTCCACGCCCTCATGTACTTCATAAAGACAATAAAACAACTAACCTTGAAAAATAGAAAATACAGTGAAAATTAGGGAGAAAATGGCCAAATTAGGCTGAGAGCGGCTGACCGCCGATCCACGGGCCAGCTTTTATACGCCTTGGTCCCGCCTCGTATCCTTAGCCTCCCGAGATTTGTACAGATAGTTTTATTGGACTAACGTTTCGGCGAACATCGCCTTCTTCGGAGCCTGCAAGTCGAAACCTATCATCGAAACAATTCACTCAAGCACCATTTCTAATTACAGTAAGAAACTACGGGCTAGGATATCTTAGAACTAAGTCGTAAAGCCACCAACCTTTTGACGGGTAGAACTTCTACCGGGCACTCTGAGTTTCAAGTCTACAAGACGGTTGTTTTCATATGTTTTTGAAACTCCAAGGTGACGGGTCAGAGGGCTTGAGGGGAACATACAAAGGATAGGCCGCCCTAATTAGGACAAACCATAATCCTATGGAACCACTTTGAAAAGCGGAGGTCGGTCATCCGCTAAAGCGCTTCTGACCCGTTACCTCGGCTTTTTGAAAACATAAAAGCTACCGTCTTGTAGTCTGAAACTCAGAGTGCCCGGTAGAAGTTCTACCCGTCAAAAGGTTGGTGGCTTTCGACTTAGTTCTAAGATATCCTAGCCCGTAGTTTCTTACTGTAATTAGAAATGGTGATTGAGTGAATTGTTTCGATGATAGGTTTCGACTTGCAGGCTCCGAAGAAGGCGATGTTCGCCGAAACGTTAGTCCAATAAAACTATCTGTACAAATCTCGGGAGGCTGAAGAAACATTCTGAATTATTACGTCTCTGATGCCGAGATTAATTGAAAGCCGATCCTGTGATACTGCAGTGATGACCTCTGATCCCCCTGAGATCAACTC